GGCAGATGCCCACTCCATCTTCCAGGTCGGATCGCCTCAGTGCAGTAGGAAACCGACTGTGAAGCCACAAGGCTTTACTGCCAGTTTCCCTTACTTAAGATGTGGGCACCTGCACCCAAAGCTGATTGAAAAATCGGCTTGGGTGGGGACATTGATTGATTCTAAGACAGCTAAGTGTCCTTATATTAAGAGTCAGCAGCTACATTATTCGTAGCTGCTGACTTTTAATTTTTTTGGGGGGAGCCTGATGCTCTGCTTTTATAATGATTATTATAACGTAGATTGGATTCTATTGATATTTACAGTAATAAAAAGGAAACAGCTCTTAGAGATTGCACACATTAGAAATCCTCCATGTTATTTGCAAGACTATTAGGTTGAATGCTTTAAAAGACAGAGAGCAATTGGGATCAGCTTTATGGTTTAGAATGGTTTATTCCTGAAAAAAATCTGGTAAGTGCATTTTTGTGCATTTCACAAATGTTAGCGTACATTTACTATTTATCGGTGCAAAATGTTGTATATTACCATTATTATCATTTTCCATAAGAAATTAGTTTTGGCCATCTGACTGCTAGATATTTCTGTTCAATGAAGAATATTTGTTTATGTTATGTTAAGCAGGCATTACATATTTGGATCAATAAAGATTGGCAAATGGCGCATTAAGTATTTAATAGTATATCTGGTGTAACACCATCAAAATGTAATAATAACAATGTTTATATAATAACCAGGAACATCTCCAGCATATTGAACACCTCATAGACTTCAGGTGAGTATATGTGTTGACAATGGATTCCAGATGAATAAAACTAATGGAAAATTCTTTGAATGGAAAACTTGAGGATGTATTACTGCAATAAATGTTCATGGCCCCATTCCAGCTCTGTGCCAGTGGTCACCATCATCAGTCTTTCTGAATATTGACTTGAAAGAAGACGACCTAAAACCTAAAATGTGAAGTATACAAATAAGAAATTAGCTGCATTGCTGGCGGTTTCTGGCTTCTCTTCAGCATTTGTGCCACAATTCACTTAAAAAGGAAGAAAAATATGATTTTCATTTATTTATTTATTTTTCTTCTTATTTACACACTTTACTTACTTTTCTTGCTGCATACTTTATGTAGATTTTCTACAAAAGTTGTTTCCTAGTTAAACAGGTAATAAAAAAGTGAAGCTTTATATAAACCTGTTTTTAATTTGTATAGATAGGGGAGAGTTAGAACACCTGTTGAGTTTTTTTGTTCATAATTGTGTTTTTATTAAATATTTAGCAAAGGTTTACACATTGTTTACAAGGCAGTGAACATACACTATATCAAATGTTATGTAAAGCTGTTGTACAAAGAAGTCAATAAGGATTTAGGTACATCTGCAGACAATTATTAACAACACCTGACATTTGAACTACAAAAAGAGGTGAAATTTGTCTTATTTATTCAAATGATACAAGCCTAAAATGTGCCTGATTAAAATATATCAGTAAACCACAGAGAACGATATGAAAACCATAAGAAATACTTTAAAAGGGGGGGAATTCTTATTAGTAGGAGAGTAAATATGTGTACAGGGTATCTTAACGGGTCAATGGAGTTTATAATTGTTTTAGAGAATAAGAGTGATATGAGGATAGGTTGCAAGGCTCCCATATGGCTTTAAAGAGAGGAACGATGTCACCATGAAGGGCAGTCAGGTACTCCATTCTACTAACCTCTCCAGCAACCTTCACCATTACTGATAAGAGGGAGTTTTGGTGGAAAGCCAATGAAGAGGAATGGTTCTCCCGGTATTGAGTTTTTATTGCTCTCTATATCGCCATTGGGCAGATTTTCTCTAATTTCCTGTTCCATAATCTAAAAAAAAGTATTTGTCGGTGTCTGTTTATCTCCTGTTATGTTGGCCGCACAAAAAGTTAGCATGAATCTTCTTAACTGAAGCACAGGCAGCAGTAAGATAGTAACAGAGACTGTAACCCTTTCAGTGCTCCTCTCAGACTCAGTCCCTTACTGCAAGTCGGCTGGCAGCTGCTGATCACTGTGGACTTCCAACCCTTGTCTTCCTATTCAACAGCGGAGGTGGAGCTGCACCTGCAGAAGAAGGTAATGTCTGATGTCTTGTGTCTGTGTGAGTGCGACCCAGCCAGCCGGCTGGCCATCCATCACATGTGCAATGTGCCAATGAATGATGAAATCATCATGATCCCACAGCCTACTCCTCTAGTTCCAGCTGGGCCTGCTGATTCGTGTCAGTGTTGTTAGTGGTGTGTTGTGCAGATCTGTCACTGTGTGGGATCGCTCAGTTCAGGTGTCCTCTGTGTGTGTGTGTGTGTGTGTGTGTGTGTGGGCTAAGCTGCCTATTTTCACCGTGTTTTATCTCCCCCCATTGCCTCGGGAATTCCAGCCTGGGATCTGTCAGAGTGTGGATCCATCATACTCCACTCACTGCAACTGTCACCCTGCCACTGTCAACCACAGATACAATCCATGAGACTGTTTTGTCTTTAATATTGGTGCTGGTGGCATCTTATGGCACTTATTTTTGCAAATTAAAAGAAATCTAGCAGTTTCATGTTTTGTTGATTTAATATTTCCTACCATTTTACATTTTTATTTATCTTTTTTTTTTTGGGGGGGGGGGGGCTCTAGTAGCTGGTCTTGCCTAGGGTGCAAAATAGTCTAGCACCGGCCCTCATAGTAGCTGTTCTCCGTGTATATTATGTGGGTATATTGGTTCTCCAACATCATTTTGCAGGTGTGTAGCTCACAGAATTTATTATGTTTTCTATAGTGTATGTGCATGCTCACTAGAGAAATTTTCAGATTAGTTTTAAACCATGATTTTTCTCTTCTTCAAAATGCTTCATGCTACACTGTCTTTCACTTTAAAAACTATCCTGTTGGGACTACCCCATTGAGAAGGCCTTGTGCGCCAGTACAGTTTGTCAATGCCATGAGCTGTTGGCACAAACCAGGAGGCATTAAATGCTTCTCTTGCACTCTTAGAGAACACAGATTAATGCACTGTTTAATCAGATACTGCATGTTTGAACTTTTTTACCATCATAAATTATGTGTAGTGTAACCTATAATGGTCTGTTGTCATGCCTCCCCTCTTCATGGTTTTTTGTATTTTTAACACCTCTAAACAAAGTAAGTAACTGCAGCCCAGGAGAGCCATGGTGGCTCTTTAATTCTTTAACATTCAGATAGAAAGTGGTTCAGTTTCAAACAAAGGGCAATAAAGTGTATATGTACAAACACTGCCAAATGTATACTTCTTACCTCCCTATGATAACTGTCTCCTGCCACCCACTGACTAACTGCATAACCTTAGTACTACAATAACAGAATCAGACATAATTGTCATACAATGCATCCCAAAGCTTGGGGCAGAGAGGCTGAAAGAGACCATTTGACCACTCTGCATCAGTACATCCCAAATTGAAAGAGTAGCACAAACTATTACCCTATTCTGCTAGTTGAAGGATCTAGGTGTATAGGCCCAGTAAGAAACAGGATGCATGGATGCCTGCGTGACATCCTTGCAAACCCTGCCAACCTAGGCCAATGCTTATGTCTGCTATAAAAAAAATGGTGCTCAAACTATCTCATACATTGCTCACAATCAATAGATTTATTTATAAAAAAGACATTGATTAGTAAAGTTAATGTAGGGATCAGCTGCCCTCTACTGTCTATAATTGGGAATACCTATGCTTATATTATGCAGATTTATCTATGCATGCACTTTCTGTCTCTGAGAGGTTGGGATGTAAACTCTAGAAGGAGGAAGTGAAGAAATAGAGAGAGAGTCTGCTCATGGCAGTACTGATGCTAACTCCGGACCATTAATTAACAGGCAAGGTGCTCCTATGTTTAATAGTTTACTATTATTGCCCATAGCTTCTGGGTACATATATACTTTATATACTATATTGCCAAAAGTATTGGGATGCCTGCCTTTATATGCACATGAACTTTAATGGCATCCTAGTCTTAGTCCGTAGAGTTCAATTTTGAGTTGGCCCACCCTTTGCAGCTATGACAGCTTCAACTCTTCTGGGAAGGCTGTCCACAAGTTTAGGAGTGTGTCTATGGGAATTCTTCCAGAACCGCATTTGTGAGGTCAGGCAATGATGTCGGATGAGAAGGCCTGGCTCGCAGTCTCCGCTCTAATTCATCCCGAAGGTGTTCTATTGGATTGAGATCTGGTGACTGTGGAGGCCATTGGAGTTCAGTGAACTCATTGTATTGTTCAAGAAACCAGTTTGATATGATTTGAGCTTTGTGATATTGTGCAGTATCCTGTGGAACTATCCATCAGAAGATGACTACACTGTAGTCAAAAAGGGATGGACATGGTCAGCAACAATACTCAGGTAGGCTGTGGTGTTTAAATGATGCTCAGTTGGTACTAAGGGGCTCAAAGTGTGCGAAGAAAATATCCCCCACACCATTACACAATTATACCAGATCTCCGCTCTAATTTATCCCAAAGGTGTTCTATCAGGTTGAGGTCAGGACTCTGTGCAGGCCTGTCAAGTTCCTCCACCCTAAACTCGCTCATCCATGTCTCTATGGACCTTGATTTGTGCACTTGTGCGTAGTCATGTTGGAACAGTAAGGGACCATCTCCAAACTGTTCCCACAAACTTGAGAGCATGAAATTGTCCAAAATGTTTTGGTAAGCTGACGCCTTAAGATTTCCCTTCACTGGAACTAAGGGGCCAAGTCCAACTCTTGAAAAACTACCCCACACCATAATCCCCCCTCCACAAAACTTTACACTTGGCACAGTGCAGTCAGGCAGGTACCGTTCTCCTGGCAACCGCCAAACCCAGACACGTCCATCAGATTGCCAGACAGAGAGATGTGACTCGTCACTCAAGAGAACATGTATTCACTGCTCTAGAGTCCAGTGGTGGAGTGCTATACACCACTGCATCCAATGCTTTGCAATGCACTTGGTGATGTAAGACTTGGATACAGCTGCTCGGCCACGGAAACCCATTCCATGAAGCTCTCTATGCACTGTTGTTGTGCTAATCTGAAGGCCACATGAAGTTTGGAGGTCTTTAGCTATTGACTAGACATTAACAGACAGTTGGCAACTTCTGTGCACTGTGCACTTCAGCATGTGCTGATCCCTCTCTGTCATTTTATGTGGCCTACCACTTTGTGACTGAGTTGCTGTTGTTCCCAGTTGCTTCCACTTTGTTATAATACCACTAACCCTTGACCATGGAATATTTAGTGGCAAGGAAATGTCACGGATGGACTTATTGCACAGGTGGCAACCTATCACAGTACCATGCTTGAAATCACTGAGCTCCTGAAAGCGACCCATTATTTCACAAATCTTTGTAGAAGCAGTCTGCCTGCCTAGGTGCTTGATTTTATACACCTGTGGCAATGATTTGGAGGGGTGTCCCACTACTTTTGGCAATATAATGTAGCTAGAATCTCTGGGCACTTAGTAGTAAACTGATAAAACATAGGGCAAACTATATGTATACTGGTGACAGAAGTATATATGTCTATTTGTTGTTATTTTAGATGCACTATACCAAATTATTAAAGTGTTACTAAACCCAGGACCCTGCATTCACTCTATCTGGTCTCCCACAGTACACACAACATGGAAATGCAAGTATTTTAGTAAATATAAACTGCTAAATACCTTTTATCATCAGCAGTTAGAGCTGTCTTGTGACTTCTATCAGTAACCAGCAGAGCACTGGTTACAGCTTGTTGGGGGAGTTTTAATTCTCCTGTAGCAGAATGCAGGGCCTCTGTCTGGAGAGTGCTGATTGGCCCTTTGCTGATCACATACACGCTCCCAAGAAAAAAAATATCTCTAGCAATACACACCAAACTAAGCATGTGCAGCTTGTCCCTAGCCTCTGTTCTATCAGGAAATATTCGGAAGACACTGGAAGAAGGGGAGGATCAGAGAAGACAGGATCAAACATCCTTTTTATACAATGTGGATGATTAACTCCTTAGGTTCCACTGTGAGTATAACAATTATGTAAAAACGAATAATAGTGAGCGCTCTTAATGAACACAGCAGCTAAAGCACCGAAGGCAACCACAATGCCTTTAAATGTAAAGTGTAAACAAAGGTAATATGGTGCAGCGCTAGAAGAATAAAAACTGAAGACAGTCAAAAGTCAATGTGATAGTATCCGTGGTTTCTTATATAGGGTGCAGACTTTCAAGGCTCTTGCGGCCTTAAATAATAGCAATGCGCACTGCTATTATTTAAGGCCACAAGAGCCTTGAAAGTCTGCACCCTATATAAGAAACCCACGGATACTATCACATTGACTTTTGACTGTCTTCAGTTTTTATTCTTCTAGCGCTGCACCATATTACCTTTGTTTACAGTATAACAATTATGGTTTAACGCATATACAGACAAATTTTACTGTTGTGGGTTCAGTGTTTGTGATACGCTGTGTATGTGCAGTGATCACCTTTCTGTTATTTAGTAGGTGGTAGGAGTTTATAGGCAGGTACTGGGAGTTTACGTGCAGCTACAGTTAGTCTAGTTAACCCTGTCCTTTCTAGTCTGGGATTGTATAGCTAGTTTTAGCTCAGGGTTCAATAGCCAGGTATGCAACTTCTGCTAGTTAGAGGTCTTGCATGACAGATTAGATGCTGATAGGGACTAAACACTGATGGAACTGGACTTTGCTGTAACATTCATCTGGAGATATCACTTTTAATAATAATGTGTACTCAGGTATATTTGCACAATTCCACCAGGATGCTTGTTGGGCCCTTTGCAGATACCTGTTTGTACATTGGAACTAAGTACTATTATTAATCTTTTTGTATATAAAACCTGCATTATTTCCATATTGTTGTGCATCTATATACTTAAGGTTAATGATATATGCTTGTTGCAGTAATTCCTTCGCTTCCAATTATTTTGATTAAATTACTAATTCATTTTCCAGGAAGGTGATCTCCCCTGTTCACAGAGGCTCTGTCCTGGGTGGAGGCACTGCCAACTTTATTATCAAACGCACTCCTCCACTTAGAAAAGGTTCTGGTTCTTCTATTTACCTATAGGTTTAGTGCAATATCCTGTTTGGGCAGGGGAACTTTTTTTCATAATTCCCCCCAAAGAGGGGGGATTGTCTTTCACTGGTGACTTTAAGAAGGCATTTATAATTAATTATACATGATTTTTTTAAAATGTATCTAATAACAATTTTTTTTCATTGAGCATGTATAAATAGAGCAAATAAAATAGATGTTTCCCAAAAGTAGAACTACACTTATGCTGTTCTTCTGAAACTTCTGAATGTTATTTACATAGCTAATATCCTTTCCCCTGGGTCATTTGATTTTTGCATTGAGGTTTCCACTTATTTCATACATTACTTTCACTGTAGGATATTTCACACAATATTATTACAACTACTGGTGTCTTTGTGTTATTCTGTAGTCCTGGGGTTTATAGATAAGGATGAGTGAATATGCCTGGGTTTGGTTCACAAACAGTTTTGCATGTTTTTCACAAATTTACAAGCTTTGTGGTGAACTCCATTGCAGTCCATATGAGAAAATCTTGTTATTTAATTTTGCCTATTTGTGGGGCTAATAAACAAGCTACTGTTAAGAAATGTAATGGGAAGCCAGGCAGTGTCATAGGGAACATGTTTCATGTAAAAAAAAAAAAAATGTACAGCATCTCTCCAGACACAGACACAGGTTTCCAGCTTCAACGTACAATGGCTGCTTTGAGTCCTCCCTTTATTGGGTTGGCTTACCCATTCATTCAAACTATTGAGTCTTATTACTCAGCTGACCAGGGGTAAAGCATGGCATTATATTTTTGGCAGTGAACCTTCAACGATTTTGGCCAGAAATTCGAAATCCCAGGAGTTCACCACAAACCCACGGTAGTGGCAAACCCAAATCTCATCCTCTTTATGGTTTGTGTCAGGGCATAGGTTCAAGTTGGTGATTAAGTTTTGATGTTAGGTTCAAGTTAAAAGTTATATTTATGATTTAGGTTAAATTATTGGTCAGTTAGTGACTACTACCTTTGTTGGTGTGATAAATTATTTTTTTCTAGGTTTGATATACTGCCATGCTCCCAATGCACACTTTTGTTGAACTGAGTATTTCTCAATTTGTCTTTTTGCTGTATAGGACTCAAGCACATATAGGGTGTGCAGCTGCCTTAAGTGGCACCTGGTTCTTGCATGTTGATGTAAGAAAGGATGGGGTAACTTCCAGGTAAACTTCCTCTTATTTACATAGTTAAATAGTTAGTCTGGCTGATAAAAGACAAAAGTCCATCCAGTTCAAGCATTAATAAAAAAAAAAGTTATAGTCCTATACCCACAGTTGATCCAGAGGAAGGCAAAAAACAGCAAAGCATGATCCAATTTGCTCCTAAAGGGAAAAAATTCCTTCCTGATCCCCCAAGAGGCAATCGGATATTCCCTGGATCAACTTTACCTTTAAATGTTAGTATCCAGTTAAATTCTGTGTATCTAAGAAAGAATCAAGGCCTTTTTTAAAGCAATACACTGAGCTGGCCAGAACCAACTCTTGAGGGAGTCTATTCCACATTTTCACAGCTCTCACTGGGAAGAAACCTTTTCATGTTTGGAGATTAAATTTCTTTTCCTCCAGATGTAAAGAGTGCCCCCTTGTCCTCTGTGATGACCTCAGGGTGAATAACTCTACACCGAGTTCACTATATGAACCACTGATGTATTTATACATGTTGATCATATCCCCCCTTAATCTCCTATTCAGTTCCTCTAATCTTTCCTCATAGCTGAGCTGCTCCATGCCTCTTATCACTTTGGTTGTCCTTCTCTGTACTTTCTCCAGTTCCCCAATGTTCTTTTTGTGAATTGGTGCCCAAAACTGAACTGCATATTCTAGATGAGGTCTTACTAATGATTTGTACAGGGGTAATATGATATCTCTCTCTCTGGAGTCTATACCTCTTTTAATACAAGAGAGGATTTTGCTCACTCTAGAAACCGCAGCTTGGCATTGAATGTCATTATTAAGCTTGTGATCTTCCAGAACTCCCAGATCCCTCTTCACCACCGATTCCCCCAGTTGTACTCCCCCTAGTATGTATGATGCATGCATATTCTTAGCCCCCAAGTGCATAACCTTACATTTATCAACATTAAACCTCATTTGTAACATAGTTGCCCAATTATACAGTGCATTGAGGTCGGCTTGTAAGTTGAAGACATCCTGTAAGGACGTTATTCCACTGCACAGCTTGATTTCTTTCCAATCACAGTGTGCTTTGACTCAGGAATTTCCAAGGTTTGAAACTGAAACCTCTGTTTTTAATTCAATGTTAGGATTTTAATGATGTTTCTTTAGCTGGCTAGTAAAGAAGATTCCCCAATGGCTGTGGCATAGGGAAGACCTGGGAAATCCTGCAGGAAAATTTTGTTGCAGAGTTATGCAGAAATCCAATGAGTGATTCAATTTGCTGGTTTCCCACCAACTTTAAAAGGTCCCGAAGGGGTCGCTGAAAAAAAAACAGGTTCTCCCAAAATAGCACAGAGGCTGCCATTCACACAAGTGCAGCCCCGTGCACACAGATAATATAGGGTCAGTCCAGGGGATGTCTTTTTAAAATTTATTTGCTGAAGAACTTTAACAGAAGAAGGGTTTGGGGTTACCGGATGCTCCAAAAACGATCAATAGTAACAATAGTAGCACAAACGTCTCACTAATTTTAATAGCAGCTTTTCTGGAAGTAACAGGGAATGGCCAGTATATCTAGGATCGTACAGCAGCAGTCCATATGGCCCCATCTGGCACCTAGTTCCCTTCTAGCACTTGCACAACTAATAGTTCCCATCCAGCATCCACAGGTAGATCCTCTGTGAGGGAGATAACAAGATTCTTCTCCAGACCAGGATTTCAGTGGCCTCCAAAACATGTAACCCTCTAGCAATATTGCCTAGGCCATCAGCCCAACAGCTGCTAAGGCCCAGACTGCAGATTTGTGTTTTAGTGGATTTTTGTTTAATCTCTCTCTCTGGAGTCTATACCTTTTTTAATACAAGAGAAGATTTTGCTCGCTTTAGAAACCACCTAGAAAAATCACCTAGAACAACATTTCTAGCAGAAGAGGGTAACAGTTTGCCCTACCGTAGTAGTGACCAGCTCTATGTGTACAGTCATTTAGTGAGCAAGTTATGTCTTTCAGTCTTTTAATCTAACCCCAGCTTCAGCATGCCATGTGTGCTCATACCTTCCTTTGTTATGATACTAAAACAAGCCAGTCAACCAGGATTGGAGGGGAGCAGACAGCTGCCCTAAGGATAACGGAAATATAAATTCCCCCAGGACATGAGCTAAGGGAATTGGCAG